AACTGGTTTTTAAGATTATTTTTATCATAGAGACTGAGATAAGTCATCATGAAATCAGACCACTTCACATTTTAATGTGGCTTGGCATGCCACTATTATTAGGAACAAAGCTATAGGAAAAAAGAATGCTTCAGAAAGTCTGCTTCCAAGCTTCCCATGTACTTGGGTGTTACCCAGAGATGGTAAACTCAGAAATTGCTGTGCACTCATCATTTTTTATTGCAAAATTCATTAAGCTGCCAGGCTATTATCATCCTATCTTGTCAAGATGATACATTACAGACTTCATTGCAAAACTTATAACAAGCAGAACAAAGTACACTTCTCTCCCAGACACAGTTCAGGAAAGCCTTGGATATTTTGCTTGTGCCTTCCTATTTTTGGTAGAAAGCTGTCTTTGTAAACCTCTTTCTGGTAACTCCCTTTTCTCCTCCTTTGATCATGTGAAAAAAAAGTTTCCTCCTTTTGGCCCTGGCGTCATGAGCTTCTGTTAAAGAACAGTCTTCTTCCCTCTTTTTTTGACCTTTACTCTTGAGTATGTTGAAACGGTGACATACTAGCCTGAATTCTGACAGACTTCCATCCACAATGGGAAACCTCCTCCAAAGTGATGTTGAAGATCTGTGTTTCATATTTACCCTCCAGTTCTGTGTATTCAGTGGGCCAGACACGCTCAGGCCTGCCAAGATGTGTGAGTTTGGCTTGGCTGTGGTATGCTTTCCTGGCCTTGCCTCTGGCTTCTGTGATAAACAGAGAACCTGTCTCCCCTATGTGATGGAGTTGCCATTAAAGTGAGTAGGAGTCACTTGGTAAATATGGAAAGTGAAGTAGCTTAGCTCCCAGATTTCCATGGCAACTCCCAGAACAAGTACAATATCAACAAAATTATTCTGTGGTTTTCCTTTTTTAGTTGCAATGATTTGGTTGCATACTCATGTTTTTCCACTCCTGATTTGTTCAGAAAATAAAAATGCTGCCCACTCTCAGCAATACTTTTGTTTCAAGGACATTAGTGGTCCCTTTCTGAAGCACCTGAAGAACTCAATCAAACTACATCTTTCTGTTCCACCAAAAAAAAAATGATTGCATATTATTCTCATATTTATTTTTTATGTTATAACTGCGCAGTTTGGTATTTATGATGCATGGGGTAGACACCAGAAATGTATGATAAACATTAACCTTACCAAGTCACTTTAACGGATTCCTTGTGGCCAGGCAATATGTGCCCGCCCTTGAGTAGTTTGCATCCTTAAGGACCAAGTTCAATCCAGTTTGTCAGTGCTTTAAAATACATGTTCACAAAAGCACCCAGCACATTACTGATGCATATTTATAATGGTTTTGGGATTTATTTTATCATTTCCTTGTTTTTGGACTCTTGTTTTATGTTCTGTTTTGTTTTTGTTTTAACTAATATAAAGATAAAGAGATATTTGTGTTGACAAACATGTTTGTGAAAGCCAAGCATTCTCACTGACTATAGCCTGTCTCAGACACTCCTGAGTAGTGGACATTCTTTTTCTTTTTGTCATTTAATTGGTCACTGTGATCTTGATTTGACTCATAACTGGTTGTTGTATTTCTTTGAAGTCTACTAGCCTGTAATTTTTTTCCTCTAGGAATGTAATTGCCATCAGTCCTTCCTATACCTTCTAATGAGGATGCCAGAGTTGGACTGATTCATCAGTGACTCAGTGAAGTCCAGCTCCGTTATTTGAAAAATTTAGTTTATTTTTATTTAAAAGAAGTCCTCTGAGCTGCCTGTTCTTCTGCTTCTCTGTTAGGAGCAGGTACTTATTTGCCCCCAGGACAAAAAAAAAAATCCTCTTGTTTTGAATGACGAAACTGAATCATTTTCTCTTTATTTCTTAAGAATTTGTCTTGCTATAGTTTGCCATCACCATTAAAACATTTGGTTTGCTTCTGATTGTACTCTCCACCTCTTCTTTGAAATAATCTTTACCTTCTCCCTCTATCACTGTCGGGACTGTCAGCATCTCAGCTTAGATCTTCCACCCAGGAGTTCTCGTTCTCATTTGCTGAGATCACAGATGAAGAGAGTTATCGCTACCATACAGTCTTGTAGTCAGGGAATGTCAGGTTTCTTGATTTCCTTGTCATATAGTCCATCAAGGAATACCAGTAAAAAAAAATCTGCCTCTTCGGATGCATATATTTGACAATCTTGACTATAAAGTTGTGAAATTTTATGATACATATTTTTGTGTATTTTTCTTGGACAAATAACTCCTTTCTCTCATCTTTTGTTTTGGCTGTTCTGTTGTTATAGTATGGGTTATGCATCTGTGAAAGAATACTTAAAAATTTATTTATTAAAAAAAGAATACTAATGTCCTATAGTAAATGAAATACTAGAAATCTGCAAGCTCTATTTGGGTGTAGACATTTGTTTTATTCCGTTGACTTTTCTAGTCCATAGAAGGTCAGATCCGTGTTTTCCACCAGCTTCCCTTTTTCTCTTGCAGGCTTATTTCAGACAGACATGCTACGTTCCCTTTGCTGTAGCCTTCCCCATTAGGTCATCGAGTTACCCAGTTTTTAGTACTCTAACAGTAGATATTTTCATTAAAACATCATCTAAATTCAGATTTTGGAATCATTTTATTAAAATCAGAACTATGATAACATTTCTTATAAAGTAAAACTTTTATATAATGTTATTTTAAATTTGGTTTCAAGGTTTTGTCTTAAATTGCTCATAATCCACTGACAATAAACAGATATGTGCAAATTGATAAATACTCATGTATTTTTACAAATAAAATACAAAAACATAATATAGAGGTCTTAAATATCTGGCAACCTTGTTTGCTATTTCCTAGGTTCTCAATAAACATGAATTGAATTAATGAAAATTAAGGAAGTTTCATTTCATATATTATTTTTTCTAATGAATAATAAGAGGGAGGGGGAAATGTCCTGATAACATTTTATAAAAACGAATATACTTTTAGCAAGGTGTTATTTTAGATTTGTAGGATCATAACCCTCTCACGGACAAGTGAATATAATCACAAGAGATATGGGAACTATAGTTTTTCTCTTCTGTTTCCTGAGAATTCAAAAAATTAATTCATGCAAAGTTGGTTCTTCAAGCTTCACAAACTAGAATCAGTAAAACTATTTACCTCTCTTCCCATATGAGGCAGAAAATGTCTTCAGCTGAGGGCCAAATAAGAGCTGTCTGCACTCTCCTTTGTGTGGTTCAACTTAGGCTCTTCACAGTTTTTCAGGAATCTTAAGATGCACATTTTGTACAAAGGAGACTTTTACTTATACTGATTCACACTAACAGGTGCTATATTCATTCTCTCAGTGCTCCTCTAATTATAAATTTTGAGGATTGTTTCTCTTTCTAGTTGCAAGTTCTGGTTTACAGGCTCTGTTAGTCTTCCTGCACGATATAGCTCTTACAGTTTCTTTTTCTGTCTGGTTGCTTCTGTTTGAAACTTAGTCCCTTAAATTATGACTAGCTCTGAACCTCAGTAATAACTGTAGTGATATACTGGTTTGGGTTTTTTTTTTTCAAAATCTACATAGAGTTTAGAAATCTCCCAATAGCCTCACAGGATTTTTATATTTTCTCTGGGTTTTTTTTTTTTTACAGGGAATTAAGAATTTGCCAAGATATTAGGGGGTATTGTAGTGTGAGTATGCATATTTAATGTGAAGATTATTCTGATATCATTCCATAAGCATAATTTGTTTTTATAGACATGATTAGTGCAAGAAGACAAGTATTTCTTATGATATCACCTTTATTGGTTGAAGAGACCTGAGTTCAAATATTAACCTATAAATTGCCAGGTCAGTGACTCTGGTCTGTCCTCCTAGCAATACACTACACCTCTAACTCTTGTCAAAAAGGCCCAGTAAGAATTAACCCACATTTATTTCTTGACACATGAAACAATTGCCAGGAACACCCATTGATTTCAGTATGGTACATCTGTAATGAGTGGGGCTGAAGAATGATACAACAAGACTATGATATTCTACTGTGACAGTGGGGCCTGTGCCATTAAGCTAGATTGTCCCCTGAATGTTTCTTCAGTGTATGGTTCCAAGTTTTTGAAGATGAGAAGAGACAGAAAGTTCTTTTCTTTGAGCACTATTCTAAAGTTTACAAAACACATTCCTGCATATGATCCCACTTGATCCTCTTGACAGCTCCACAAGCTGTGCTAGGCTGCTGTCCTTCTCCCAGTTTTGTAGATTCATTAACCAGGAATCTGAGATCAAGTGGAAATTGCCTGAGGCCACACACCCAATCAGGGTTGGATTCTTGAACTCAGGTTTTCTCTCTCCTGCCTTCATAAGATTCTCCTAGCACAGCATATGACTGCTTGGACCATGGACTCAGTTTTTTGTTTTGTAAATGCAGGCTACTAGGTAGGCTTTTATAGTTCTGTCACAGAATTAACATGAAGTTAGACATCAAATACACGAAGCTAGAGGCAACACAAGGATGTGTCTGGGGTGGGGTCAGGCATTTAGACTCGGAGTATAAGGAAGTTAATTGATGGCCAAATACATTCTGTGGTGAGGTGCTATAGAGTTGGAGGAAGTTCATAGCCTGGAAAGTATTAAAGGCAGGGTTTTTATAGTGAAAGATGAGTGTCACAGAAACCAAGGCAATGTGGCTAAATTCAAGGGGTCTCTAAAGGCTGTTTTGTGTTGTGACCATCCACTAAAAGATGGCACAACTTATGGTGCAATGGTAGGCCCACTCTTAGGAAAAGGGCTGGTAAATATTACAGGGAAGGTGGATCCTGTCAAGATGAGGAAGAGGTTTTTCCCTAAAATTTTATGTTGCCTATTCCCTTTTGACTCTGTTTCCCACTTTATTCTTTTGTATGTCTTTTTTAAATGTTAGAAATCTCAATCAAGCCTCATTATTTATAAATTTTGTATACATAGGAACAAGCTATCCCTATGCAATATTAATACAGGGCTTGTGGTCTTTTCTCCTGCAGAGGAACAAAGGAATAGCATCATCAACTCCAGTCTGGAATCTGTCTCATCAAATGCAAACAGCATCCTTAATTCCAGCAGCAGCTTACAGCCCAATATGAACTCCAGTGATCCAAACCTGGATGTGGTCAAACCCACCCGGCCCAACTCACTGTAAGTATGATGTCCAACTGCCTTGCGTCTCTGTTGACCATTCTGCAAGAATCTACTCTCTGGGTCCATCTGACCTTGAGCCATTGTCCCATGACTGTGATTTAAACTTCTCTCCAAACATGGATCTTGGCTGGCTTGCTGTGGAATTTTTAAGCATCATCATCCCCAAGGAGAGTCACTGTTGCTAACATGCTGCTTCGTGGTCTTGGTCACCTTTGATTTACTGTCCCGCTGAGATGGCTTTGGTGATGGCTACTGCCTGGGCTGGCTGCTGGGCATGAAAAGCAATTTCTTTTAGTTTCCCAAATACCAGGGACTGTGGCAGCTTAGTAGATCAGTAGCCAAGTCTGTTGAACTCGTTAATGTGTGTATTAGGAATGTTCATTGCTACCTCTGTGCCTCCTTTCATAAAGATAGTTCCAGTTGCCCTTTGTATCTTTGCATTCTCAAACCTTAGTGTGACTATGATCTCTCACTAGAGACTTTAAAAGGGCTCTTGTTTCTTCATTTTGGACCCTGAGAACCCATAGTCAAAATAGGCATTTTATGGGACTGGTTGTCCAGTGCCCCTTCAGAAACTATTCTAAAAGGGCCAGAAAGTTCTCCCTTGTGGCTCCAGTCTACATTGCTTAGCGTGCTTCTTCAGGCCACAGAATAAATCTTGTCAGCTAGAGCCTTTCCAAATGAATGTGAGGCCATGACCAGAACAACTGGACTCAGGCTACAGCTATAGAAGAGTCAGGAAAAACCATGTTGACTTTGCATTTCTCTAGTGAAAATAGTTTGAGGCCCAGCCACAGACTGTCTTCAGGCAGTTGTTGCACTTGATGAGACACCAGCATGCAGATAAGATACCAGGAGGGCAGCAGCCTTTCCCTGCTCTTCTGTATGCTATGGTTGTATGCTAGTGCCATGCTGTTCCATCTCTTTAGGATATAGTATTTATGTATCTGTGAAATGAGTCTAATAATTTTTGCCTTATAACAGGCTAAGGGATATTAAATGCTTGGGAGGAAAAATACCCCAAAATGTATGTAAGATGTACTTATAATGAAAATGTAGCTACGATGTAAGATGAAATCTTAAACTGAGGAAATCAGATCTCCTTTTAGTTCTTGGCAGTTTTTAAATTGTACCAGCATTCAGGAAGTTTGATCACTTGCCCAGTATTTGGTGGATAATGTTGTAGCTCACCAAAGCTCAGAATATTTGGGTTTGTCCAGCTTGTGGGCAGTAAGTCTGTTCTTGTTTTTCATTACCAGATTTGCCTACAGGGCCTCCTGGCCTTGACAAATGCTTTTTCAGGTTCTTTTATACCTGCTTTCCTGGACTTCAAGGAGATTCTTTTTTACCCCCTCCATTTGATTTAAGTCTTTGTACCCAGCAGTTGCTAAAGTTATTTGTTACTCAGCATGAGCAGAGTTGAACTTCTAGACCACGCTGCTTCATATTCCCTGATTTTAGCCAACCAATACCAACTAGTGGTCTTTAATATCTGTTTTTAGCTGCTGGTTGCTGTGAGCCCCTGAGTCACTGCTGAGAACAGTGTGTTCCAAGAGGTTGTTTGGGTAGCTAAGTGAGGGCGGGGCAGGGGGGATATGTCTTTTAAACAGGTCCTGGAGGAGAAGCCTTGAATTTTTTATTTTTTGAGTAGCCATATCATACTGAGGGCAACTGCCCACTTCACCCAGGACAAATTTGGGGGGATTTCCCAAGAATGGAGGGTGAGGATGGGAATAGTTCTACTTGTTTGTCTTTGGAGGAGGGTCGTAGGCAGAGTGTGGGTGTGCTTCCAACAATACTGCTATCCTCAAGCTGAGTGAGTCTGACTGATACCTGTGAGTCTTAAGGTCAGGAAGGCTTCTACCATGAGGTAGAAGCAATGGTGGTACCAGAACTGGAACCAGCAATTGCCTTGCCCTTGAGTGAGGCACATGCCAAAGCCTTTTGCAAACAGGTTCTGTGGCCATTTCTAAAATCCAAGGCATTTTTCTGGGTTTCATCCTCCCCAGTGTTTCTTGCCTGAGATTTGCCTGGTGGACCATGAATGGGAGTTAGGCAGTCCTGACAAAATAGAACTCCTAGTACCTTCCCTGAGAAAATTAATCCTGAGAAGCCTGAGAGTGCATTATGCCATGGTGATAATTATGCCAGGCTCAGTCATACCAAGCAAGACCTTAGTCCTAAATCCCTTCATTTTCTACACCAATGTTCAGTTTGAGGTGTTCAGAGATCCTTAAATGGGAATACTTGATGGAAACAAAAAGCAAAGGCATAGAGTAGAGGGCTACCATTAGCTATTAATTAGGCATAAAGTAAAAAACCAGTCACCAGGAAACTACTTATCCTTTTTATTTTGTTCATTATTTTTCATGAGGAAAGAAATTTGCTGCTCATGATACTTTGCTGTATCATTAGTAAGTCTTTTCATAATTCTTTTAGGACAGTGATGGTGAACCTTTTAGAGCTTTTAATGATAGAAATAGCCTGCTTTAGCATACATGTCATAGGTTCACCACCACTATTTCACGAGATCAGGGCTCTTTTGTTTGCATGAATATAAAACTAAATCAGGCATCAGAATTAGAGATGCTGCCATTCTACCCATGCTATGGCATGGCTGCTGTGTTTAATTCTTTGGCAGGTTCTTATCTAGACTCCTGGAGTAGCTATTGCTCCTAAAGATCAAGGGACAGTTAGTGAGCCGGGATCAACGTCCATATGATCTGAAATTCCCAACAAGTCTTGCTGAATATCTTTTGTGCCTTAATCTGTGCTAAGCTACCTTGGGTAAAATAGAAAAAGAAAATTCCTGCCCTCCCTGAGTTTATAATCTAGCTGTGGAAAGACAGTGACACAAAACAGTGCTAAATGGGTCTCATAATTCAATGGTGTCTTCAGAGTTCAGTACTAATGGAATATCTGTGAGTACATGCACCAGGTCAGAGAACTGGGCAAGGTGAGGCAGATGAAGTGTGAGGTGAGTGTTAGTGAAGATTTAGATCGGTGAGTGAAGAGCATTCTAGGTAAGGGAACAAGAGGTAGAAATGACCCAGCATAGATAAAAAATCCCAGAGACATGTGTATTGGGGGAGGGAGCTATAGTTTTTCCCCTACCATTACTATCAAAAAACAAAAACAAAACTTGAACTCATCTTTAAAGTCAGGAGACTTCATATAAAAATCCACATTTCATGCTGAAACAACTGGACATTCACATGCGAAAACATGAACCCAGACATGGACCATATACTTTTCACCAAAATTAACTCCAAATGAATCATAGGTTTAAATGTAAAATTCAAAATTATTAAAACTGTAGAAGATTATGTAGGATAAAACCCAGGTGACCATGGGTGTGATAACTTTTTAGATACAACACCAAAAGCATAATCTGTGAAACAAAAAAACTGTTAAGTTGGATATCACTTAAATTAAAAACTTCTACCCTGTGAAAGAAATTGTTAAGTTAATAAAATGATAAACCACAGCCTAGGGGAAAATATTTGTAAAACACATATCTGATAAAGGACCCATATCCAAGATGTACAAAGAACTCTTCTTAACATTAAGTAAAGCAATAATATACTTAAAAAATGAGCAAGAAATCTGAATAGATATCTCACTGAAGAGATTTACATGGCAAAGAAGCATGTGAAAAGATGTTCCACATCACATGTCACCAGAGAAATGAAAATTAAAACAATATGAGATACTACCACACTGCTATTAGAATGGCCAAAATCCCAGAACACTGACAATATCAAATGTTGGCAAGGATATGCAGCCACCCTCTCACTCACTGCTGGTGGAAATGCAAAGTTGCAAAGTGGTATAGTCACTTTAGAAGACAATTTAGTTTTTTTCTTACAAAAATTCAACATACTTTTACCATCTGATCCAGTAGTTGTGCTCCTTGATATTTACCCAAACAAATTGAAAACTTATGGCAAACAAAACTTATGACAAACATCCACATAGATCTTTTGGTTAACTTTATTCGTAATTACCAAAACTTGGAAGCAATCAATATGTCCATCAGTAGATGGGAGAAGGTAAACTGTGGTGTATCCAGACAATGGAATGTTATTTATCATTAAGAAGAAGCGAACTATCAAACCATGAAAAAACATGGAGAAAACTTGAATTCATATTGCTAAGTAAAAGAAATCAATCTGGAAAGAATATAATATGATACCAACTAAATGACTGAAGAAATAAACTTGGTTTAATAAAATGATCAGTGGCTGCCAAGGAAAAGAGATGAACATGTAGGATGCAGGAATTTTTTAAGGCTGTGAAACTATGCTGCATGGTGGGTACATGAAATTATGACTTTGTTAAAACCAGTAAAACTATAGAACACAAACAGTGAAACCTAATGTAAACTATGGTCTTTAGTTAATAATAATATATCAATATTGGTTCATCAGTTGTAATAAATGCACCATACTAATCCAAGATATTAATAATTGGGGAAAGTTAGAAGGTGAGAGAGGAGGAAACTTGTTTTGCATAATTTTTCTGTAAAACCAAAACTGCTGTAAAAAATAAAGTTACTAATGTATTTTTAAAGTCTAGATGTCCAGCTCTTTTTGAAAGGTAGAAGATTCAGCTACATGAAAGCTATGTGTTACTTGGTAGGAGAGGATGTCCAGTCCCCACCCTGTCTCATTGGCTTGTGTTACTCCTTTGGATTTTCTCCCTGCAGTACTGCAGTAGATTAAATAAGGCCAGAATCTTTGCAGCCCCTCCCATTAAGAGCTAGAGCCCTTGAATCTAGGCTGGCCTTCACCCTCGGACTTGATTTAGCCAGTAGAATGTGATAGGAGTGTCATCATGCAATGTGCCAGGCCCGAGCACGATGCTTTGCAGTTTCTTCTCTTGACCCATGGAACCCAGTCGCCAGGTACAGAAGCCTTTTCTAGCTTCCTGGAGAGGGAATCCCAGCAGTCTCAGCCAAGTCTAGCCCTTGGGCACCCATCAGTTGAATGCAGCCA